ATGACAAACGCCGAAGCCTGCCCGAACAAGGAGGAGGAGCAGCCTCGGCGGTATTCATGACAGTTGTAGTGTATTCACATCCAACAGGCTTTGTGCAGGTGTTGGATAGCAGGGTTATGGACTGAGAAAATAAGCTGCCCAGTTTAAATACTTAAATACATCAAATAATGTCTTATCATGTTTATTCATTTTACTTTTGATCTTTTTTTACCGTGATAAACTGATTTGTGCACTATCATGCCCAGGATGCACGACTCAGCTAGCTGTAAAACCACCACATGAAAACGCCTGATCATTCAGGAGGCACAATTCTAAATTGACGTCACTATCCTTCAAAGGCGCATCAAAAGTGGGCAATGTCGAATACAGTATATTACCAATATATTGTAACATTTCAATTACCTATTGATTCATATAACACAAATATGTGGACTTAATTCCACTTTAAAGTTAAGTATTTTCATCAAAATGCTTAGAATGACTGTGATGATGTTGTAGAAAAATAGAGAGTGAACAAATGTGAACGATGATGAAGGCCAGTGATGAAGATGCGTCTAGCGACTTGTAGACGCTGAGGCCCAGGGTGAGGACTCAAACTTGATTTATGGCATTGTCTGGATGGCTGACCATATGATGGCTATCACAAAAGTTAAACACAACCTTATCCGTGGCTTTCTCCTAGGCGGGAGGTTCCAATAGAGCACTGGGAGCACGGACACCGTTGTAGGTGTGAAGACAGATTTAAACTTGAGTTGACGAAATGAATGTTACTGTGTGAATTACATTTTCGTGTTTGGATTGTTTCAAGAGTTCATAAAGAGTTGCGAATTTTGAGGCCTATGTTTTATTGTATTTTAAGTGCTATGGATGTATTTTTACAGAGTTAATGTGTTATTCTGTATGCCGGACGGCGGTCAGATCAAAGAAGGTGCGCTCCTATCATTTAGATAAGAAAAGGTTCAAGAATGCGTGTGGTGTTTTTATGCCCTTTGTTTATTGTTTTGGCCAAGTAAAGTTATGTTAATTAGCAGATGGGAGATACTGAGATTTGGCGTTCTGGGGAAAATAAAAGATGGGTTGAAACTTTGTTCAGGGAGTCATTCTAAACCCTGAAATGTTTACCTTGCACTAAAGATAATAACCTATGGATGGAAAGTGAAAACATTCATCATTTACCTCATATTATGCTGGTCATAGGCTGGGGGAGTGTAATAACACGTTCAAACCTCAGACATACAATTATGATACTCTTCTCTCTACCTAGGAGCAATCAGTGTTCTTAAATGCTAGTACCCCTGGTTGGGAACCACTGGGTTTTTCGAACAGCTGGCATGAGTGGACATACCTAGGCCCTATTGTGACCTCGCTTGCAGGTACTGGTACTGTACAGATGTAGGATCTTAATTTGATCACTCTTTTGTTGCTGAGAATTTTCCTGCACTGCTGGAAATGCAGATGAGCTTCATGAGTTACTAAATTCACTGAAAACACGCACGAACACACGGTTATACAGTGGGGGAAAAAAGTATATAGTCAGCCACCAATTGTGCAAGTTCTCCCACTTAAAAAGATGAGAGAGGCCTGTAATTTTCATCATAGGTACACGTCAACTATGAGAGACAAATTGAGTAAAAAAAATCCAGAAAATCACATTGTAGGATTTTTATGAATTTATTTGCAAATTATGGTGGAAAATAAGTATTTGGTCACCTACAAACAAGCAAGATTTCTGGCTCTCACAGACCTGTAACTTCTTCTTTAAGAGGCTCCTCTGTCCTCCACTCGTTACCTGTATTAATGGCACCTGTTTGAACTTGTTATCAGTATAAAAGACACCTATCCACAACCTCAAACAGTCACACTCCAAACTCCACTATGGCCAAGACCAAAGAGCTGTCAAAGGACACCAGAAACAAAATTGTAGACCTGCACCAGGCTGGGAAGACTGAATCTGCAATAGGTGAGCAGCTTGGTTTGAAGAAATCAACTGTTGGAGCAATTATTAGGAAATGGAAGACATACAAGACCACTGATAATCTCCCTCGATCTGGGGCTCCACGCAAGATCTCACCCCGTGGGGTCAAAATGATCACAAGAACGGTGAGCAAAAATCCCAGAACCACACGGGGGGACCTAGTGAATGACCTGCAGAGAGCTGGGACCAAAGTAACAAAGCCTACCATCAGTAACACACTACACCGCCAGGGACTCAAATCCTACAGTGCCAGACGTGTCCCCCTGCTTAAGCCAGTACATGTCCAGGCCTGTCTGAAGTTTGCTAGAGTGCATTTGGATGATCCAGAAGAGGATTGGGAGAATGTCATATGGTCAGATGAAACCAAAATAGAACTTTTTGGTAAAAACTCAACTCGTCGTGTTTGGAGGACAAAGAATGCTGAGTTGCATCCAAAGAACACCATACCTACTGTGAAGCATGGGGGTGGAAACATCATGCTTTGGGGCTGTTTTTCTGCAAAGGGACCAGGACGACTGATCCGTGTAAAGGAAAGAATGAATGGGGCCATGTATCGTGAGATTTTGAGTGAAAACCTCCTTCCATCAGCAAGGGCATTGAAGATGAAACGTGGCTGGGTCTTTCAGCATGACAATGATCCCAAACACACCGCCCGGGCAACGAAGGAGTGGCTTCGTAAGAAGCATTTCAAGGTCCTGGAGTGGCCTAGCCAGTCTCCAGATCTCAACCCCATAGAAAATCTTTGGAGGGAGTTGAAAGTCCGTGTTGCCCAGCGACAGCCCCAAAACATCACTGCTCTAGAGGAGATCTGCATGGAGAAATGGGCCAAAATACCAGCAACAGTGTGTGAAAACCTTGTGAAGACTTACAGAAAACATTTGACCTGTGTCATTGCCAACAAAGGGTATATAACAAAGTATTGAGAAACTTTTGTTATTGACCAAATACTTATTTTCCACCATCATTTGCAAATAAATTCATTACAAATCCTATGATGAAAATTACAGGCCTCTCTCATCTTTTTAAGTGGGAGATCTTGCACAATTGGTGGCTGACTAAATACTTTTTTCCCCCACTGTATTAACAGTATTCTGCTTTTCATGTAGCCTCATTTTGACCAGATAATAGCCTAACCACAGATCAAGCAACATTATGGACTAAAAGTTCAGGATTATTCTGCTGTGACAATACAGGTCATATTAAGATCCTACACCTGTACGTGTTTTCAGCCATCCCACGCTCAGGTACATTGGGTTTATATCAATATTAAGTTCAGTTCTCAGAGTACAGCAAAGGCACACAGAAATGGGAGCACCTTTTCATTCTACTTGTCAACAGCCTACCGTTCTAAATCGAGCCCTCTGCTGTGGCAACCCAACCCATCCGACCCTGTTCGTCAACCAGCACTGGTCTGGCATGCCTCTAAGGCATTCTGAATGCGATAACTGGCTTTTTTCCAGTTGCAATCCAAACTATGAATGTGCACATTGTCACTTCAGAAACTGGACAGTTTGTTATCTGATGAATGGCGGTAGCCTTTATAAAGTTTAAACACGCCTCTGATGGCATGTGGTGAGGTGTTGTATGGCCTTGATCAGACAGAGATGAAGGTGGCCACTGGCTATTGCATTCTCTGGTCTACCTTTGGCCTGATTCTTGACCTGGACCGACCTTGAGGTGTAAGATAGAGGAGGGCTGTCAGTCACTCGGGGGCCAAACCGGACACACATAGCTGTCTGATTGTAGGAAGGTCAAATAGATTACTGAGAGACTCAACCTTCTGATCAGCCATGTGATGTGACTGCGTCATCTACAACAGTCTCTATGGTTTATCATGTGAGTATGGTTGCTGACTGACTGGCTCTCTTATAACCTTTGTGATAGGAGTCCATTCTCAGCTGGCTACAGTACAACAATGTACATAGACTACAGAGACAGACCACAGAGACTGTCCACACATAGATGCTTTTAGAGGTTGCTAGCAGCAGCTGGGTCCATTTAGACTACAAAAGAGCAACCCAGATTTAAATGGAAGGCTAGTAGTCGTTATATTTCTGCTGGGGGACCCCTCCTGTGAGTGTATATTTTCACAAGCTTGGCTACTGCTTAACACTTTCCCCATTAAAGCGTTAGCTCATCACGTCAACTACGCTAAAAGGCTTCTCCGGAAGAACATAGTGTACATGTGTAAAATCAGCAACAGGCCACATGATTAGTAGGTTTTCTAGAGTGCAGGATAACTTACAGGGCATTCGTAAAGTATTCAGACCCCTTGACCTTTTCCACATTTTGTTACGTTACAGCCTTATTCTAAAATGGATTAAATCGTTTTTTCCCCCTCATCAATCTACACACAATACTCCACAATGACAAAGAAAAAGCAGGTTTTTACAAATGTTTGCAAATCTATTACAAATTAAAAACTGAAATATCACATTAACATAAGTATTCAGACCCTTTAGTATGTTTTCTAGAGTGCAGGATAACTTAACCACAGGAGGTTGGTGGCACCTTAATTGGGGAGGATGGGCTCGTGGTAATGGCTGGAGTGGAATAAGTGGAATGGTATCAAATACATCAAAAACATGGTTTCCATGTATTTGATGCCATTCCATGTGCTCCTTTCCAGCGATTATTGTGAGCCGTCCTCCACTCAGCAGCCTCCACTGATTACTTAACTGTGACTAAATCCTCATGTCCAACGTATACATTCAATGATGAGATGTAAATAGTTATCTTTTTCTATACAGTATAGTTTAAACAACGTCCATTACATCACAGTCGGTGGAATGCATTGCAACTTCACTTCCTCACTGTTGGGGAGAATTATAAACAGCCGACCTGGGCCCATAAATCAAAACAACCGATTGCTCCTGTTAGAGTAGCACAGGTAGTATTTCTATAGTGTAAGTGTCCGTTACCTGAGAAGAGAGTGATGAAGGAGGACTCAATGTAAGGCAAGATCGTCTAAGCCTGGTAACCATTGGTTAATATGGCAACAGGAGCGACACTTACATAACGGATCTGTTTCAACAAAGACCTTATTTTTATTATCAAGTTCATTTTAGAAGAATCGTACAATCCATGAAATGTGGACATCCTGAGTGAGCTAACTACCACACAAGTGTCACCACTTTACAACAGAGATCCCTTTAGAACAGCAATAAATCACGTGACATATATCCCGATTCTGTACATTTCATGCACCCGTTTCATCATTCTAACCTGCAGGTGTGTGAGGTCCACTGAACTCCTATTTGCCTTGATATCAATCATGATGTCACTGGTGTTTTGCAACTATTTCATACCTCTCCATACAATATGCCAACTGTACCAAGAGTACGAAGAGATGTAATCTATATCGAGAGGCATCGCCGACAATGTGGGAGTAAGCAAACGAGGTATACAGTAAGTTCCCACATCAATAATAGCCATATACCAGCACAACTACTGTAACATGATAAACCTTACTGAAGCTCAATTCCCTTTCAGGCTCTACATGAAAACATCCAGAAAGGGTCGTCTAAAAACTCTGCCCACGAACAACATAACAGAAACGTCTTCCGAATGTTTCAAAACTTCTGAGACCTCTGAAAACCAAATATATTAGTATAAATACTAACGAGATCATCTCTGTGTTCATAATTTACCATCAGACTCGGAATGAGTTCAATCTTAGGCCTGAAAAGGCCTTCGTCAAAGAGAGGCGGTACATGGACTCTGTTCAGGAGGAGAGATGGGCTCTGTCACTTTAAGAGCGGACACCACAGTACTGGCAGACTGTTTATCTAGCTATTTTATCACAGACCAACCCAGCCCTGCTCTGCTCTGACCTACATTCAACCTCTTACTTTAATAAACAACTCCATTGTTAATGGACTGGGCAGAACATTTTCCATGTCCAGTTTGATATCAAAAAGGCAAAAGGTATTTAGAGTGCAAACGCAAGCGCTCTGAATGCTATACTTGTAATATCACTTTTCACCCAATATTCTACAGAAACAGATTTGTTAAGTATATTGTTAAGAAATACTGAAGCTGAGAGATTACTGGTAGCATGTCTAAACATGTTCAAATATACACACCCTACTGACCACAAACCAATGATAAATGGCAGTTTCACCATTGTGGTTATCTGAGTTCACTCCAGTCCAAATCCCTCCGCGTTTGAAATGGCAATAGTTAACTTCTGCTTCAGTTCTTTTTTGTTTTTGTATGGTGGCAGGCAGATCTGGTTGAAACACGTGTGAGATATAGGCAACCTGGAGAGGAAGAAAAGGTAAATGATAAATTCACATTGTTCACAGATGCTGTTCTGTATAAATCAAATGGCAGCTGAATAAAGGAGGTCTGCTTTTAGTACTTTTCAACATGTTTACAATGAATAAGAAAGAACACATTGAGGACATCTGCAGTATCTCACCAGTCGGTGGAGGCATCAATCTTAGAGATCTTGAAGTTGAGGTCGGCCATTCCGCCCACAGGGACGCGGTCACTTCCTGTTGAGAAGTGGAGCAGCCTCTTCTGGAACTTCAGAGGGAAGGCCAGCACCACGTCCCAGAATGCCCTGACCACATAGACGGAACAACACATTCGATTATTTACTGTAAGGTTAGGGTTAGGCACAATCATTAGGACCTACTTCAATTAAATGCACCATCTGGGATATTTCCTGCTGTTCGATGGTCATTTAGAAACTCAGGATTGCGGCTTTAATATCTATTCGAAATCAGGCCTTTTTACACAATTACTGATATGATGATGGGTTTACAGTACCTGATGGTGGGGTCAGCCTTGCTGTAGCCTTCGTACTGTGCTACCTTCTGCAGCGTGCTCATGTCCAGGTTGGGACTGCCACACACCAGGATCTCCACCTCCTCGGACCTCAGCAACTACAAAACGAGGGACAAGACACAGAGTCACTATCGCGGTAGTCTAACAAGTAAAACTACAGGATATATGAAACTACAGGACACAATGGGATTCCAGTGAAACTGCAGGATTTCACAAGACACCCAGTGTTAGTACCATGGGAGTTTGTCCATTAAAGCTTGCCTACTGCATGACACAAGACAAGGAGTTACTACCATGTTGGTCTGAATCATGAATCCCTGTTCATTGAACCAATATTGCACTAAAATGTGCACTTAAACAGAGCAGTGCTTGACTATGGTAATATCATAGTAAGGGCATGGGGTGATCAGAGTGCCATATGCAGGGATCGTTGTGTCACACACTGTCTAAAGTATTAATCAGACACATTATGCAAGTGTTATCAAGTTGCAAACTTGATACATTTGGCCTCATTTTGCAAACCCTAATAGACATAGTTGCATATTTTCTCTGTATTACTCTGTCCTTGACCACTTTTCAGTCCCATGCAGTCTTCCCAGCTAGCACATTTGGTTCCTTGGAAGTTGTGGGAACATACGTTTTTGGTTTTCCATTGGTTCTGGGGAACGAAGCCATAAGTGTCCTGACCGGTAAAATTGAATGTTTTTAAAACATTCTGAGAACGGAAGTGAACATTTTGCCTTCACTGGGAACGTACATTTTTAGATTGCAGGGTGGTTCTAAGAACATTTACTATGGTTCCCTGAATGTTTTCCTGAGAGGTTTTATTCAAGTAATTAAATAACATTCTGAGAACATGTTTCAATAAGACTTTTAATAACACTGCTAGCTTAGGTTAACTGTTTTGAACTCCAAGCACAGATAGGGCACATGGAAATTAAATAGCAATAATCATGCAAACACATTTCTTTTTTTATTGTGGCATGGCATCAGTGAGATTTGAACCTATGATCTTCTGTTCGCTAATCATGGAATAGCCCACTGCGCCACCAGGATGGAGCTAGCATGCCATGTTATTTTTTTACTCATACAAAGCTGTTCATTTTAGTCTATTCAAACAGACCCCATTTTAAAGGAAACAAGCACTCATTAAGATCAGATGTGGCCAATTAGTGGGTGCGGCCAACACACCTGAACACACTTAACATGGGAAGATAAGGCGTTGCTCTGCTTTCTTGATATCTCAGTCAAATGTCCAGTTGTGTGGTCAGGTGCGGCAAATAAGCATATAGGCAAATTACAATTGGTCCAAAACAGAGCAGCACGTATTGCACTTAGATGTACACAGAGGGCGAATGTCAATGACATGCATGTCAATCTTTTCTGGCTTAAAGTTGAGGAGAGATTGACTGCATCACTATTGGTCTTTGTGCGAGGTGTTGATGTGTTGAAGGTTCCGAACTGTCTGTTCAAGCAGTTGGCACACAGTTCGGACACTCATCAGTACCACACAAGACATGCAACCAGAGGTCTCTTCACAATCCCTAGGTCCAGAACAGAGGCTGGGAAACACACAGTATTAAATAGAGCCATGACTAAATGGAACTCTTTGCCACCCCATGTTACTCAAACTAGCAATAAAACCAGATTTTAAAAAACAGATAAAAGACGGGGACTGTGAAGAGACATTTTTCATGCATTTTGTATAGTATTTTGCATTGTATTATGTATGTGATACGTGGTTGTGATACGACTGTGATATGAGGTTGTCTCGTTTGGCTATCTTAAGATGAATGCACTAGCTGTGGGTCGCTCTGGATGGGAGTGTCCGCTGAATGGCTAAATTGTAATGTAAATGTAGTGCTATGCATATTTATGTATATTATGTATTTTATTTGTTGTGTTGTTTCCTGTTTGGACCCCAGGAACAGTAGCCGCTGCCTCGGATCCTAATAAATACTAAATTATAGAGGATAGCGAGAGTTTTGTTGACGCTGAGAACGGACTGTGTATCTTTTTAAATAACATTCTTAGAATGTTCTTTGAACGTTACTAATGTTTTCTTGTGTTTTTTATGGAAAGTTTTCTTAATGTTCTGAGAACATGAATTCAAATAGAACACGAGGAAACCTGCAGAAAACGTTATACTGAAGTACTGAAATTCCCACAGAAGAATGTAGTTTCTTAACGTTCTCTGAATGTTCTGAGAACATTACTTTAAATAGAACCATGAGGAAACCTGTAGAAAAAATGTTATGCTGAAGTACTGAAATTCCCACCTAAGAAACATATGGTTCTCAGAACGTTATGTGCTAGCTGGGTATCCTGCACCATTCCCAGAACATTGCGGCAAGGTTATATGCCAAATAACCATAGGACAACCACGCTCTCACCAAGCGTTAAGAAACATATGGTTCTCAGAACGTTGTGTGCTAGCTGGGTTATCACATCATGACTCCACTTTATCCAAACACACCCAGACAGTAGTGTCAGACAGTAGGGTCAGGCAGTGCACGGTCTGCAAGACTGCCTCACAGCAGCACAGTTTCACCTTGTTCACGAAGCGCAAACAGAAATGCAACCCGATGACTAGCTAGCGCAAGCCAAGCCAATGGCCAGATCCAGCTAAGGTATAGAGTTCCTGAAGAATCTGGGACAGACCAAATCGTGGTCTGCCACACCCCCTTTCCCCCCTTTCCCCTCTCTCCCCCATCTTCTCTCTCTCCCATCACCCCACCAGGCAGCCAGTGAGTTATTACTGTCACAGCAGTGTTGCATAATCAATGCGAGCGTAGACAACCATTGCGTAACTGTATCAAGGAGCTTTCTAAAGCTGACTTTTCCTACATGTCCAGTATGAGCCTGTTCATATGAGCATGCACTGCCTTGGGAAGCTAAGAGGAAAAGTCTCCTGAGAGAACTAATAGATTGCACTAACAGAACTAAAAATAGAACCAGTACTGCACGTATCGCACTACTGGAAAGTTCTATGTTGGTGCTGATGCAACAAAAGCTGAAGAAGACCATATTAAGTAGGAAGTCCTACCAAGATTGAGACAGGGATTTTTGTTTTAGTCTCAGTGCAAAAACAAAAAGCTCAGGGACATTTGTCATTTCAGACCCATCAAGTTTAGTCATTGTGACAAATTACATAGTATTTCTGATTCTGATATTGCATTGTATTGTATGCTGTTGAAAATGATATTCCTGGTACATGCATATTAGATTGCTATTTTTGTGATTATTTTCTATCTACAGTATCCAAAATGGATGGACTCAGCAGGCATGCTAAAATTGCTGCACAGGGAAAAGAACATAACTAATGTTTAACTGTGGTTTGTGGTCGGTTCAGCTGTGGCATACATACCAACTCTGGCATTCCGTGACACGTACACCAAACAGATAACTGAACAGTCAAATATTTGTTTTTGCAGGTCCAGACAGTTACCAATGACCGCAATAAAACAATGAGGGACATTTCCATCCCTGAGCTCAGCGCTGTCAGCTCATCTGACAGTTATTTGCAGTACCCGAGTCTGTTTTAATCTTGTCCATTTTAATTGATTCTAATTTATTGATTACTTGGTGTAGTCCAGGGGTACTCAAATACTATCTGAAAAGGTCCAGTCACACACATTTCCTAGGTGGCAAAGGTCCGGATTGATATTGCCATTTATCAGTGCAATAACAAACTCCGACCCCAACACAAGCACTGTCCAAGACACAAACTGATTACACTCCTCTTGTTGGTGGAGAGAAAATGTTGTAGATTTGAAGCTTATTTCCTGCAATTCTAAAAATGTTGCCACGGGGCAGAGAGAATATTTAGCAGTAAAAAAAAAAAAAAAATCCTGCAATTCTACACATTTTGCCATGTCTTAATGTGTTCATATGTTATCTGAGTGACTCAAACATTACAACAAAATCATATTTTTTTGACGGGGACCCGCGGTCCGTCCGGGTCTGGATACGGACCTTCGGCCCGCCTATAGAAGATGGTTGGTGTGGTCCATCTTTCACTCATTGCTAGTTCCACAATATGCCGATCGGTTTCTGTCAGCAGGTCAGTGAGGCAACAGTTAATTAACTAATGGGAAAGAAACTGATAATGACCAGAGAGAGACAGATCCTCCCATGTCAAACCATGCAACTCTAACCCTAAAGCTGGGCTGGTTCTGCATGAATACAGCAGCTTTGTGGTCTGTCTGATTGATATTCGTGGAAGGACATCACTCTCGTCATTTACTGTGGTTCCCACGTACACTTTCTATAGGCCACTCATATGAGCCTCCCCATTCGAGCCCTGGTTACTGAGTGGAGACAGAGCACACACAAAACCCCTGTTAGGAGGCCTATGTCAAGAGAAGGGGAGGGGAGCTCTGTGAACATATTTAGCAGGCAGCGAGGAACAGTACACTCACTCACACACATGCATGCACTCACAGTTGTGTGCGTGCACACGCACACACACCCTCGTGCACACACAGCCGAACCCCAACTCCTCATTGCTTCTCTGTAAAATGCAAAATGGACCTCACATTCCTCCTTATGCTGCCTAATCAGGAACTTTCTACAGGAGTTGACTAAACTCTCTGCTATTGACACTTCAAACAGGACCAGCTGGCACTGAAACGCAGCACAAGAAATGATGTCCTCTCACTTTCAGTGATACTGATACACACTAAAAAATAATGGTTCTAAATAGTACCAGATAGGGGTTCTTTGGCTTGTAACCCTAGCGGAACCCTTTTTGGTGCTATATAGAACCCTTTTTTGAAGGTTCTATAAAGAACCATGCTCATAACATTCTAAATGGAACCTGTATGGTGTTATAAAGAACCCTTTCCTAAGGTTCTATAAAGAACCATTGAAAATGTTCTATATAGTACCAAAAAAGGATTCCGCTATGGTTACAACCCTTTTGGGGGCTATATACAACCCTTTTTTATGGTTTTTTTGTCACACCAATTAGGATTCATTTATTAATTCATTTTGACATTAAAAGTCTTGACATTCTTACCATCAAAGTGTCGGAGGCGCACACACTGTGGAAGCCATAGTAGAAGGTAGTAAACTGCCTGCAAATGGACTTATTCAGCAGGAAATCTACATACAGCTGGACATACTCTGCAAAGACAAGAGTAATCAAACAATCATCTATGAGAGAAAACAAATGCCACATAGTCTGAAAGGCAGTGTACTGTTAGATATCCCAAGCTACTGCAGGACAGTGGCCTTTTCTCTGGCTCCTGTCTACTCCTCACTTACCCTTCCTGTTCTGGTTGGTGACAGAAATCTTATCTCCTCCCGGTTTCAGATTGTAGGACTTGATCACACCTATTTCTTCCTGCGACACCTAAAATGACATTCATCACATTAGTGGAGCACTTCCCTTGTGCTGTGACAGTATGTATTAAAATGATGTCAAATATATTATGTTTCATAAGTGTTATTGTGAATAAGAATGTGTTTTCCTAACCTGAAAAGTCGTACAGAAGTCCTCCTCCACGTTGCCTTCATAGCTGAGAAGTTCTGCCAGCCCATGAGAAAGATCCTGAAACACAAGACCAAATCGATAAGCATTGCTTTTTATATAGATTGCAACCAATATTTATGAAGTATATATAACTTCTTCTTCTTCTTCTTCTTCGTCTTCTTCTTCTTCTAAATCTGTAAAGGCTAAATAGAAAAAAGCCTAAGAGGAAGAAAAAAACATCTTGCCATTTGAAAGTGCCATGGTGGAAACTTCTGCCTCATACAGCACAGAACACTATTTTCATAGAATGTTTTATGGAGGAAAATCTGACTTCATTTTGTTATTGATACATCTAATGACTGACTTCTTTTTTTATAGCAATGTAAGACCAAACAACAAGAACACCATGTTAAGCCTTTGCCACTACACAATCTAGAACACGTATTGAGGAAACAAAATTATATAAAACCATTATATGGTGTATGCATTGTGCATGATTTGTTGTTGTTGATTTTATTAGGATCCCCATTAGTACCACAAAGAGGACCTTGGGAAAATTACAACTGGTCCAGAACAAGGCAGCGAGGCTGGCACCTTAAATGTACACGTAGAGCTAACATTATTAATATGCATGTCAATCTCTCATGGCTCAAAGTAGAGGAGAGACAGACTTCATCACTACTTGTTTTTGTAAGAAGTGTTGACATGCTGAATGCACCGAGGTGTCTGTTTAAACTACTAGCACACAGCTCAGCCACCCATGCATACCCCACAAGACATGCCACCAGAGGTCTCTTCACAGTCCCCAAGTCCAGAACAAACTATGGGAGGCGCACAGTACTACATAGAGCCATGACTACATGAAACTCTATTCCACATCAAGTAACACACGCAAGCAGTAGATACACCTTATGGAACAGCAGGAAGAGACACAAACAAAGGTACAGACACATGCATACACACACACGATAAAATATGCACTATACACACGCCTACACAGGGATTTTGGATTGTAGATATGTGGTTGTAGAGTAGTGGCCTGAGGGCACACACTAATGTGTTGTGAATGTATTTTAATGTTTTTAAAATTGTATAACTGCCTTAATTTTACTGGACCCCAGGAAGAGTAGCTGCTGCCTTGGTGATCCATAATAAATACAAATACAAATACAAATTAGCCGACGCCAATGGCGACAGCTAGTCTTACTGGGGTCCGACACTTAACGACAAATACATTACAGACAAAATACTTCACAATTTACAAACATTTAAAAACATTAACATGTATAGTCCCGTGTAGCTCAGTTGGTAGAGCATGGCATTTGCAATGCCAGGGTTGTGGGTTCGTTTCCCACGGGGGGCCAGTATGAAAAAAAGAAAATTTGGAAGAAAATGTATGCACTCACTAACTGTAAGTCGCTCTGGATAAGAGCGTCTGCTAAATGACGTAAATGTATTGTGTGTGTGTGTGTGTGTGTGTGTGTGTGTGTGTGTGTGTGTGTGTGTGTGTGTGTGTGTGTGTGTGTGTGCATCTATCAGTTACACATACATTATATATACAAAAGTATGTGGACACCCCTTCAAGTTGGTGGATTCAACTATTTCAGCCACACCCATTGCTGACAGGTGTATAAAATCGAGCACACAGCCATGCAATCTCCATAGACAAACATTGGCAGTAGAATGGCCTTACTGAAGAGCTCAGTGACTTTCAATGTGGCACCGTCATAGGATGCCACCTTTCCAACAAGTCAGTTTGTCTGTTTGTTTCTGCCCTGCTAGAGCTGCCCCGGTCAACTGTAAGTGCTGTTATTGTGAAGCTGAAACGTCTAGGAGCAACAACGGCTCAGCCTGCGAAGTGGTAAGCCACACATGCTCACAGAACAGGACCGCCGAGTGCTGAAGCGCACAGCGCGTAAAAATCTTCTGTCCTTGGTTTCAACACTCACTACAGAGTTCCAAACTGCCTCTGGAAGCAATGTTCGACGGAAGCTTAATGAAATGGGTTTACATGGCCGAGCAGCCGCACACAAACCTAAAATCACCATGCGCAATGCCAAGCGTCAACTGGAGTCGTGTAAAGCTCGCCGCCATTGGACTCTGGAGCAGTGGAAACACGTTCTCTGGAGTGATGAATCACGCTTCACCATCTGGCAGTCCGACTAACAAATCTGGGTTTGGTGGATGCCAGGAGAACTCTACCTGTCCGAATGCATAGTGGCAACTTTAAAGTTTGGTGGAGGAGGAATAATGGTCTGGGGCTGTTTTTCATGGTTCGGGCTAGGTCCCTTAGTTCCAGTGAAGGGAAATCTTAACACTACAGCATTCAATTAAATTCTAGACGATTCTGTGCTTCCAACTTTGTGGCAACAGTTTGGGGAAGGCCCTTTCCTGTTTCAACATGACAATGCCCCCGTGCACAAAGCGAGGTAAATACAGATATGGTTTGTCGAGATCGGTGTGGAAGAACTTGACTGGCCTGTACAGAGCCCTGACCTCAACCCCATCGAACACCTTTGGGATGAATTGGAATGCCGACTGCGAGCCAGGCCTAATCGGCCAACATCAGTACCTGACCTCACTAATGCTCTTGTGGCTAAATGGAAGCAAGTCCCTGCAGCAATGTTCCAACATCTAGTGGAAAGCTTTCCCAGAAGAGTGGAGGCTGTTATAGCAGCAAAGGGGGGACCAACTCCATATTAATGCCCATGATTTTGGAATGAGATGTTCGACGAGCACGAGTCCACATACTTTTGGTAATGTAGTGTACATGTCAGTACATCACACAAAAAGTAGGTCACATGGGGGAGAGGCGTTGTGCCGTGAGGTGTTGCTTTATTTGTTTTTTTAAACCAAGATTGCTGTTCACGCATTATGAGATGGGAGTTCACTTCCGCTATATAAGATGGAAGGGAGTTCCATGCACTCATGGCTCTGTATAATACTGTACATTTCCTTGAATTTGTTCTGGACTTGGGGACTGTGAAAAGACCCCTGGTGGCATGTCTGGTGGGGTAAGTGTGTGTGTCAGTGCTGTGTTTAAGTTGACTATGCAAACAATTTGGAATTTCTAACACATTAATGTTTCTTATAAACACAAGGACCGATGCAGTCAGTCTTTCCTCAACTCTTAGCCAAGAGAGACTGGCATGCATAGTATTAATATTAGCCCTCTGATTACACTGAAGAGTAAGACGTGCCGCTCTGTTCTGGGCCAGCTGCAGCTTAACTACTGTAGGTCTTTCTTTGCAGCACTTGACCATATGACTGGACAATAATCAAGATAAGACAAAACTAGAGCCTGCAGGACTTGCTTTGTGGAGTGTGTTGTAAAAAAAGCAGCATATCTCTTTATCATGGACAGATCTCTCCCCATCTTTACAACCATTGAATCAATATGTTTTGACCATGACAGTTTACAATCTAAGGTAACACCAAGTAATTTAGTCTCCTCAATGTGGTCAACAGCCACACCATTCATTACCAGATTCACCTGAGGTCTAGAACTTAGGGAATTATTTGTACCAAATACAATGACATCACTGTGATTATGCTATTCCAATCCATACCTCAGAACATAGTCACATAAAATACATTTTATAATGCAAAAGCAATCATTTGAAGAACAATTACATGTGTTTGACGTCAGTGCTGGGCAGTCTTTTTAAAGAACTTGTGCTGGCTTTTTCCCTGCCCTCCTCCAATTTAGGTAAAAGTATTCAACAGAGGCCGTTATGTAAGCTAAGACAAGGCCAACTGCCCAGTAAAAACCAACATCTGGCAAGGCTGCGCAGCGCAATGAGATGCATACTGAATAAAAAGCTACACAATTACACCAAACGCAGTTTAATACTAGTCTTAGTGACAGTAATGTATTGTGTGCATACAAGTAAACAGTATATGATTAACATAGATTTAGTTTGTTTTGAGTTTGTAGAAATCGCAAGTGGCGATGTGCAAAAGTTAGGCTTGAGTGCCCTCTGCTGGTGAATATTGGAAGATGTCAGTCCTTCAATCACTTTCACTAGCAACTCAAAAATCTACATATTATGTGAAACTACAGGATTATATAAGGAAATATTATATCAACCAAGCATAACATTGATGGCAATTGCAGAACATGTCATGCCACATGAAGTGTATCTCTCCTCTCCATCTCTCCTACCTAGACAGCTAACTACAGCTGGCATTCTTGAACCCACCTGATCAATAAAAAAAAGCTGCCATCACCAAGAGCGCTTCACCAGCAGTGTTGGACTGCTAGGTGTGACATCTGTGGGCAAGAATCTATCACTGGTGTGTCTCAGGTGATGGTTGGAGTCCAGCTTGGCACCTCTGAGACCTAGCTACATCACTCCCATCTCACCTTGGCAGCAGCTACACTGTTATGAGACTGGTGGCAGGGTGAGACTGGGACTATATGGAGTGTGAACCTGGTTGATTATCTCACAGTCCTGTGACGCACGGCATCAATAGCACAATATATGACTCCCTAAACTACAAGCATATTACTGATGTTATGATGCCTAAATTCCTTCACATATTGTTCAGCTATAAGTAGGAACAGGGGCATATTGGAGTTATTTTTAACACACTCTAAATAACTTCTTAGTCTAGCAACCGTACATCCATATTCAGATACTGTACAAATCAACACTTTACCCGTCAGAGAAAATCTGAATCATTCTAAAATGGTCCTCTCATAAGCGTCACATCCATTCATTTGATTGTATAAATAAATATAAAGAGGAGTATTTTGCAAGTATACAAATGTTCCTTTGACCACTGCAAGCAATATTATTGTACTTGTGATCGTTACAAGAAGAGTGCAGTGTAATGGTAAAGAATGCCAGTGAGAGAGCTGAATCAGAGCTTGTGTTGTGTACATACAGGCATGACCTGCTGCAGGTCGTCCAGGGTGAGGGTCGCCATGCCAACGGGGGAATCGGGGTCACACGGCACCACGGGCGGGGTCAGCAGCTTCTTGTAGACACAGGGGGGGAAGCTGATGTCCAAGGTGATGCTGTTGTAGACAGCCAGGCCCATGAGCTGACACATAAAGTTAAGGGTGTATCAAAGTCTTAAGGTAAGGCGGTAATCACAGATCCTTTACAATAGAAAGCAATTATCTTCAACCCCAAATGACTCAAGGTTATCATTAAGAGAACTCATATACACCACTAGATGAACAGAATAAAATGTGGTTAGTTATATTCATTTAATGTAGCATAGCAGTATTGTGCTTCTGATTTCTTCATACTTTGTAACGACAGCATTTTATACCAGCTTCACAGACCATGCAGCGTGTGCTGATGATCACAATCATCACTCGATTAACACAGCATTTTATACCAGCTTCACAGACCCTGCAGCGTGTGCTGATGATCACAATCATCACTCGATTAACACAGCATTTTATACCAGCTTCACAGACCCTGCAGCGTGTGCTGATGATCACAATCATCACTCGATTAACACAGCATTTTATACCAGCTTCACAGACCATGCAGCGTGTGCTGATGATCACAATCATCACTCGATTAACACAGCATTTTATACCAGCTTCACAGACCCTGCAGCGTGTGCTGATGATCACAATCATCACTCGATTAACACAGCATTTTATACCAGCTTCACAGACCCTGCAGCGTGTGCTGATGATCACAATCATCACTCGATTAACACAGCATTTTATACCAGCTTCACAGACCCTGCAGCGTGTGCTAATGATCACAATCATCACTCGATTAACACAGCATTTTTCCCATGTATATTGGCTAGTAGCAAATCTGAAGAGGGAATATAAACAGCAGGTGTATTATGCGTTTACAATGAAACTCCTAACGCGGTTCCAGCTGCTTCTGGCAGATCTCAATTCATGTGTCGTCCATATGGAACTTCTGTGGGAAAGGCTAAAGCTGCAGAGCTCCCTAGCTTGCTAAATAGATAAAGAGAGTTTGGGAAAATCCTTCAAGTTATATTGGCGCAGACTTGGGGAAAATTCCATGGGAACTGAGAGGCGGAGAATGAAACACAGACCGCTGCAGCCAGACCTGCAGCCCACAAAATAAGACATAACAAAACCTTTCAGTTTCTATCACTATCTCTCCCTGCATTTTTTGTCACCCTGCCCTCCCTGTGGTGTTGGTTAAACAGTTTCAGACAGAGACACATAGCCACTTCAGTGTCTGTCAGTGTGCAGTAATTCTAACTGAGTGGCTGACAGACTGGTGAGGTGGAAGGGGTGCAGGGGTATGTGGGTGGACTAGCTCAGGCTGGCTGAACATGCCTCAGGCATGGAAGGGACAGCAGACAATAGAGAGAGATAAGATCAGCACACAGCCCTGGCTCCTGGCTACTGGCTGCCTCTGTGTCTGCCTCATCACTTGTGATTGTGCAACTTGGCGAGATTCGAGTCAGCCGTACCCAAGGGGAGAGCCACGTGCGCACAAGCTGTGACTCCCCACACATGACTGCTAGGGTTCATCACTGGAGAAACACTGACTATTGTCTCTGCAGAACACCTGGAAAGTGCTGAATACATGGTAGTGTCATTCCACCAATAGAGTGCCCTTTGGGTAGTGTTATTTTGTTTAAAAAAATAATATACTGTATATATTTCACCTCATTTTTAAAGTAGACTCAGCGATATAACATAGGTGCAGAAAGTAAACAGCATAGTGGGTCAATTTCTGCAACAATTCATTTCTCAACTTCTCCGCTGTTTTGGTCCGGTGGCTATAGCGAACCCATGCACATGCACAGATACAGTGTGCGACTGTGTGGGAGCGAAGTCTTGCATCTTGCTCATCTCAATATCTGCGGTGCTGCTCGTGGCAACGTCATTTTGCTGAGTCTACCTTTCACATTCTGTCATAAAGAGCACATGTTCAACTTCACAACAAACCTATTTTCCCATCTACATAGGTTAAATTAATAAAAATGACTATAAAAAGGTGACAATTAAAGTAACAGGGTTGACTATAACAGGCTTGACAATTTCATCTTAAATTAGCCATAAATCCCATTGTGACAGGGAGAATGGAAGCTTGTTGTGTGCAACAGGGAGGGGCAATTGAACGCAAACTTCACCCCCCCAAAATGTACTTGTTAAAACATTTATAGTCTGTCTATCTATGGGTAACAGGGTTTTCTGCCACAAAACCCCAGAAAATGCCCCAAAATAGTAGGACCAGCTCACCTACTTTTAAAACTATGATTTGACTATTAGATGTTCATTGTTTCTTCTGAAAAAATAATTTTAAAAGGAATAGTTTTACCATATTAAAAAGAGTTCAGTTCACGTAACAGGGTTGACCTTAAACCTGAGGGACAAATGTAAATGAATCACTAATCACATGAAATAATAATAATCTTCGGAAATGACTTTGTCAATGCAACAAAATAACTAGGGATTTACAGTTATGGTGAAAACCTGGGAAAATGTGGGTCTTAAATGGGTTCTAATCTTCCAAGAAATCTGACAAACATGATGTGGGACATGTCAAAATTGAGAGAGAATTTTCAGAGAAAACAACGAATTGATTTGAATGAAAACACACTACTATTGAAATGTTGACATGATTTAGTTAAGTTATAGTGTATGTGTATATGATCTAACTGTTTTATCAAAATAAACACAATGTCACATGGATAAAAACACATGAATATTCTGCATACTTTAGTTATTCTATTAGATTACATCAGATTGCAACGTGCCAAATAGAAAAGCACTGCAGTGTCTCCTCAGTTTAGAAGATGACAAACTGAAGAATCCCCACAAAATTATAGTTCTAAAACTAAAGCTATCATCTGCAAAGCAGCAATTAACCTGGCATAGGGATAGTGGCGAACCTCAGAGTATCTATGGTAAATGTGCAAAGATTCCCTTAAGTATAGCGCCAGGAGTTCTTCCTCACTACGTGACCTGACTAAAACTCCAGGCGCCAGTTACAGGGTACAACATGAGAATCTGTTTACAGTTCGCGACAAGCTACAACGGTACCTTAAATCACGGTATGGTACAAAAGGATACAACTCCGACCAATCGGAACTCAGAGTAGTTGTCACACTTCCAGCTGCTGAACCAGTGATAGTGGGAATCCTTGAAGAATGTAAACATGCCTTCAGAGAGGAGACACAAATACACTCTGCTTAAACACAACTCCACCCAGACATGACATAGACATAGAACACAGGCAGATAACAAATGATCAGAATAGAGTACATGGGAATTTCGTTTTTTGGACTGCTAGGTCCCAGACCAAATGGGAGTTACTGTAAATAGAATGGTCATCTATTGCAGTGCTATGTATCTGTCCCAGAACATGAACATCGTACATTTTCGTTCTTTTCTTCATTAACGGCTAAATGCAGGTCAGCATTCTTAGTCTGGGTACTGGTTGAGACTTTAGGATGGGGAACAGAAAGCCAGGGCTAAAGGAGAAATACATCTCCTTAACGTATACTGTTATCTATAGAGAAAATAGTATTGTTGCAAACAAAACAGCTGTAACATCTGTTATCTCTATGGCAACGCATATGCCTGATCTGTTTGTCCCATATGTCTCACCGTAGTCTGTGTGAAAGATCTGTCGGATGAGAAGGAGAAACCACTCCTTGGTCAGACCACCCATGTCTAAACCAGCCTCCCCCACAAACGACACTTTCAGCTTCTTCTTCAAGTCTGCTCGGTTTCTAGTCAGCTAAAAGCAGGAGAGCAAATTAAGCTGCGGCCAACTTTCTTGAACTTATCAGACCAAGGCATGCCGCATGTCTGAACTTAAACATATCTCGGATGCTTCAGTTTTGAAATGCACTGCATTGAAAGCAGTGAAATAACTTAATTTACATCAAATTAATTGGCTCTTACATTATTGCATAACATAAATAGCAATCAAGCCTCTATACCAGGGCTGGGCTGTCTTCTTAAGTAATGTTCTTGTGTGTCTGTTAGATGGGAAATGGTATTACCTCATCCAGTGAGTCACTGACCAGCTGCAGCCGTCTGACTTTGATGTTGAGAAAGAGCAAGCTCATATCCACTCGCTGTCTGCGAGACACTTTGTCCACCAGGCTTTGCTGCAATAAATAACAAGAGCCACTCCTTATGTTGTCTGAGAGGGAGAGCTTATGTTTTCAGTCTGATGCAGTGAGATATACACTGTAAATATTGTAAACGTCTTGTTCTGGGTTTTTCCTGACTGCAAGAGGGACCGGAAAAAACTTGAAAACCTATAGAATATACACTCCAACATACATTAATTATGTATATACACAGTATTTAATATATTATATATTATTTAATATACACAGTATTTATATATATATATACATATTTTTTTTAAAAATATATATACACACAGTGCCTTCGCAAAGTATTCAGACACACAGGCGCCTCACAGGTCCTCAACTGGCAGCTTCATTAAATAGTACCCACAAAACACCAGTCTCAACATCAACAGTGAAGAGGCGACTCCGGGATGCTGACCTTCTAGGCAGAGTTGCAAAGAAAAAGCCATATCCCAGACTGGCCAATAAAAATAAAAGATTAAGATGGGCAGTCTGAGATATGGCTTTTTCTTTGCAACTCTGCCTAGAAGGTCAGCATCCCGAAGTTGCCTCTTCACTGTTGACGTTGAGACTGGTGTTTTGCGGGTACTATTTAATGAAGCTGCCAGTTGAGGACCTGTGAGGCGCCTGTTTCTCAAACTAGACACTCTAATGTATTTGTCCTCTTGCTCAGTTGTGCACCGGGGCCTCCCAATCCTCTTTCTATTCTGGTTAGAGCCAGTTTGCGCTGTTCTGTGAAGGGAGTAGTACACAGCGTTGTACAAGATCTTCAGTTTCTTGGCAATTTCTCGCATGGAATAGCCTTAATTTCTCAGAACAAGAATAGACTGATGAGTTTCAGAAGAAAGTTCCAGCTACAATAGCCATTTACAACATTAACAATGTCTACACTGTATTTCGGATCAATTTGATGTTATTTTAATGGACAAAAAAAATGCATTTCTTTCGAAAAAAATGACATTTCTAAGTGACCCAAACTTTTGAACGGTAGTGTATATATATATAACATGCTCTCCAAGGATGTCAGGGACAAGATTGTAGACCTACACAAGGTCTGAAGTTTGCCAATGAACATCTGAACGATTCAGAGGAGAACTGGGTGAAAGTGTTGTGGTCAGATGAGACCAAAATCGAGCTCTTTGGCATCAACTCAACTCACCGTGTTTGGAGGAGGAAAATGCTGCCTATGACCCCAAGAACACCATCCCCACCGTCAAACATGGAGGTGGAAACATTATGCTTTGGGGGTGTTTTTCTGCTAAGGGGACAGGACAACTTCACCGCATCAAAGGAACGATGGACGGGGCCATGTACCGTCAAATCTTGGGTGAGAACCTCCTTCCCTCAGCCAAGGCATTGAAAATGGGTTGTGGATGGGTGTTCCAGCATGACAATGACCCAAAACACATGGCCAAGGCAACAAAGGAGTGGCTCAAGAAGTGGCACATTAAGGTCCTGGAGTGGCCTAGCCAGTCTCCAGACCTTAATCCCATAGAAAATCTGTGGAGGGAGCTGAAGGTTCGAGTTGCCAAACGTCAGCCTTGAAACCTTAATGACTTGGAGAAGATCTGCAAAGAGGAGTGGGACAAAATCCCTCCTGAGATTTGTGCAAACCTGGTGGCCAACTACAAGAAATGTCTGACCTCTGTGATTGCCAACAAGGGTTTTGCCACCAAGAACTAAGTCATGTTTTGCAGAGGGGTCAAATACTTATTTCCCTCATTAAAATGCTAATCAATTTATAACATTTTTGACATGGGTTTTTCTGGATTTTGTTGTTGTTATTCTGTCTCTCACTGTTCAAATAAACCTACCATTAAAATTATACACTGATCATGTATTTTTCAGTGGGCAAACGTACAAAATCAGCAGGGGATCAAATACTTTTTTCCCTCACTGTATATATATATATATAAAATACAATAATAATAATAATACTTAAAAAATATATATATATATGAATTCTCTGTACATTAACACTAGGAGGTCAATATGCTAATATAAAGAACGGTAATAGTTAGGCTGAGAATGTGATTCATTGCCTGTGCTACTGTGCATTACAATGACACTATCAAAGATGGACGACAAGGACCTATGTGAGTGAGAAGTGACCTCAGTCTCACCCTGGCCATGCTGATCATCTGCTGTTCCGAGTCCTTCTGGATGATGGCCTTCTTCACCACCGTGGATAGAATGAAGGGGAACTGGCAGAATGTAAACCTGAGGATGGGGAGGAACGGGGAGGAACAGGGAGGAACAGGGAGTGTTTGGTTATCATAGCTTATCACACGGAAATAATGTTTTGGTTTCATCAGGGATGTTGTGTGATTTGTTTGGTTAGTCACTTTAACTCTACCCACGTACATATTACCTCAATTACCTCGACTAACCGGTGCCCCCACACATTGACTCTGTACCGGTACCCCCTGTATATAGCCTCCCTACTGTTATTTTATTTTACTGCTGCTCTTTAATTATTTGTTATTTTTTACTTACCAATTTTTTACTTAACATTTATCTTTCTTAAAACTGCATTGTTGGTTAAGGGCTTATAAGTCAGCATTTCACTGTAAGGTGAACCTGTTGTATTCGGCGCATGTGGCAAATACAATTTGATTTTATTTTATTTTGGTGTACGATACCCATTGAAGATCGTATCATATCTGATGTTGCAATCTGACATCATAAACAAAGAATCTGTTGTTCTAATGCTGAAAGCTGACACAAGAGGGAGCTCCTTTATTTACAGGGAAACACAGGAACCGTACCAGCAAGGGGTTGTGGGGAGAATTGAAGAGCACTGGTCAACATAAGCTTTGCTCTGATAATATTGTCATGTCACACCTGGTAGAGTTTCCCTGAGTCTGCCATATGCGATAGTCATCCATGAAGTCAGTGTGGTCCAGCGTGGGGTTGTAGAAGTCAACAAATGGCAGGATGGGGGTGCTGGAAATTACATTTGCTGCATCTACAATGGAGAAAAAGAGAAACAGAAGAATATATCACGTTCTCCTGGAGACTGATATGTTTTCTCCTGACCCTCAAACAACATCTACCCCAGACACATATGGGTAGGAGAACCAGACAAATATGGGTAGATAACCAGACAAATATGGGTAGATAACCAGACAAATATGGGTAGGAGAACCAGACAAATATGGACAGGAGAATTCAATGCCTGTAGAAAGTGCAGTTTAATCCATTACAAGGGATAGACCTAAATCTCCACAACACTACACTAACATCCCCTTGCCCTGACCATTGCCCCAGTCTCAGCTCCCTGTGGGGGTGGAGATAGAAGACGACCTACTCACTGAGGAGGGAGAGGACCTTTGTGGCGGAGGGGATCCACCAGGAGCACTTGGCCATGGGGGGCAGCTCCTCAGGCTTGGCTGGGAACAGACGGGTGGAGATGAAGAGGTGCAGCCGCTCCACCAGCTGTTTGAACCGCTTCTGGGACAGCCTGAGTTAGACAATCATAATCGAAAACAGAGGCATTATCAGCATGGCAAGGAATACATTTTAACTTTCAAAATAGATTGTCTTGTTTGAAAGCTATGACTGCTCAATTCCTACCAACTGCTACTAAAACAATTTGGAAAACATAATTTATTTATCCTTCCTGGATAAAGAATAACAACATGGCTTCTTTCTGAGGACTGTGCTTACTTTGTGGATAACAACTACAGCCTGAAAAAGCATGGGATTGCATAAGACAGAGGAACAATTCAGACTCTTACTTCTTAAACCAGTGCATCAGGAAATAGTGGTCTGCTTCAGCCAGCGCGGCTATTTGCCTCAGTAAGTGTGCATAGATTACATATGTGGCTGGGCTGGTGCACTGAGGGTTCTGCAACAAAGAGGAGCTTTTTCAGCAGTGGCAGTGCACTTCAAAAAGGAAATATAGCTTTACAACAGAAGAAGTCTGGCTTCTAATAAAGACTGGCATTACAGAGGAAACCAGACTTTTCTACTTCAAACATGACCTCATCCATTCCCTAGGCAGAGAGAGAGAAAGAGAGAGAGAGAGACAGAGTGAGAGAGATGGAGAGAGAGAGAGAGAGAGAGAAAGAGAGAGAGAGAGAGAGAGAGAGAGAGAGAGAGAGAGAGAGAGAGAGAGAGAGAGACAGAGAGAGAGACAGAGACAGAGAGAGACAGAGACAGAGACAGAGACAGAGACAGAGACAGAGAGAGAGAGAGAGAGAGAGAGAGAGAGAGAGAGAGAGAGAGACAGAGAGAGAGAGAGAGAGAGAGAGAGAGAGAGAGAGAGAGAGAGAGAGAGACAGAGAGACAGAGACAGAGAGAGCGAGAGAGCGAGAGACAGAGAGAGAGTGAGAGCCCAAAGACAAATCATACACTCAATTTAGAGATTGAGAGAACTGGAGAGACTCAATAACCACAAAAAGTTGTTGGTATGAAAGGGATAGAAGATGTGCTTTTTAATTTACCGCCCCATAAAACGTCTGAAACAATAATAAAGTAATAATAGTAGTAAAACAATAAGAAAACCATAAATGGGATAGAAACAGGAGTCTCCAACCAAAGTCTCAATTTTTAGCAGACAGAAATCGTCCCAGTTCAACTCAGCCATTTCCCCAGTCTGCCTCCCGAGTCTCTCCCAGGCTATGTGTCTAATGCTTGTGTCCATATTTGGCCGGTGCCAAGACTACCTCTAGTCTGTTGGTCATGTGTAAAGTAAACACTCTGCTCTCGTTATATCCCGAGCCTGACTGAGACTGAGACTGACTGCTTGGGCTATGACTGGAGTCAATGGGCCATGTGGTGAGGGAGCACATCGAGAGTTTCCTGTGTTTCTGATTTGCCTTTAGACTGAGGGCTACTGTGTTTAACCTACTGAGGACCCGAAACACAAAGAGATTCCGAAAAATGGCTGTGGAGCACGTGTGTGTGTGGGGAGTGTGAGGAGTGTGGGGGGGGGGGCACATTAGCCAAATCTGTATGTCATTTGTACCAGTAATGTGTAAATATACTGCACGTGATGCATGACGTTACCTGAACTAGAATGAAATACGCTCTCAGGTCATCCTTTGTCCGTCGACTGCAAAACAAAGCAGACAATATGAAGTTAATTTCATTCCTCATCCAGCACGTAACATTTGATTCAATATTCAAGTCACAAAGTATAGAGCTTTACTATGTAGACAGGAATCGTTTCATTTCAGTGGCAGCTATAAGAGTGCTACAGTATATGATTGTCACACACCCCTTCCATTCTCTTAACAAGCTGTTAATGATCCCCTTCAGCACTGCTCTCTGGGCATCAGGAGGCTGTTGAATCAATGTTAGATCAAAGTTAGTGAGAGGTTTTCATTTCAACTACCTAATATAAACATGGCTATTCGTTGCTCTATCACTCTACATACCGTGAGCGATAATGCGTCATAGACAGCATTGACGAATTTGGTATTGATTCCTGAGTCTTCAATCGTGTTGAACGGAGCGTTTGCTTCTTTCTGGACAGAGAAACGAATAATATATTTAGATTAGGACTAACACATACTTTAGTTTAGTCTACTTTTATTGGTGATTCGCTCAGTCCAAGTCTGGTTCACTTTGGGGGAAGGCTAATATTCTATATTATACTTTGTTATGACATAATTATCCTAGACCCTCTAGGAAGCAATGCAAACCGACCATCACACGTGCTAAACATTTACCCAACTGTTGCGTACATGATCATACGTTCTCTTATAGGTCCTGCTCTTATGAATAACACTCTCCATGGAAACCACGCACAAGTGCTCTTTTTTCCGACCCTCTGAATAACTTCATTCATTCAGACTCAAAAACCCCTCTACAAATTCCCCTTTACCTGGCTCCCAGAAATACTATATTGACCGACTTTAAACACCAAAACAATGATCACCTTTTATTTGCGTTGATCAGTCATAGTTGCTTTAGAGATTTTACTATCACACTTATCCATACAAATGAATTGACATAGTCAGGGGTGCAACGTTCACTGGGGACAGGGGTGGGGACATGTCCCCCCACATTCTGAAATTGCATATTTTTATAATTGGAATGTGATACAAAACGAGGCAACGGTGTGCTTTAGGACCAATGTTAAAAGCACACCGTTGGTCGGTATAGGCCTCCGAGCGGTCGGGTGGGCTGTTTGGAGTGTTTATCCGACCGGATTAAAAAATATATTTATATATAATAATTATGTCCCCCCCACTTCTAAAACCAAAGTTGCACCCCTGGACATAAATTAGTAGTGTAATAAGTCCTTATAAATTATGCTGTAGAAATATCACTGGCTTGATTGACAATACAAATACGAAACCGCAGGATGAATATGGCACAGACATGGGGATCACCCACCTTAAAGGTAGCATTCAGTTCTAAAAAGGAGCTGAACGTGGTCAAGTAGAAATCATGGATGTGTTTCCAATCGCCTGAGACTATTGCCCTCTCAATGTCCTCCCTGGTAAACGTTAGACAAATATTAAAAGTTATTTCTGTTTGAGTGTACCATTAATAATAAGGACGTGTGTGTGTATGTGTGTATGTGTGTGTGTGTGTGTACTTACTGAAACTTTTTGGCAGTCTTGGTGCGGAGGGGCATGACTGGGTCGGAGGCAACGCGAGCCCTGACCTCAGGAGGCAGAATGTCAACGGTGATGCGATGTTGATGTTGATGCTTCTGTCTAACATCAGGACAGATGGGGGGAAGCTCTCTACCTGCAGGCGGAATAACAACACACATATTAAAAACACACAAACACACTCACCCAAATGTATCATCCCTGAAAATACTATTATCTATTAAAGCTGCAATATGTAACTTTTTGACATAGAAATGTGAGTTATAGATATGTCATTCTCATTGAAAACAAGTCTAAGAAGCGGTAGATCTGTTCTATGTGCGCTTTCTATGCTTCCCATTCTTAAGTTTTGTTTTTGCATCTTTTCCTTTCTGTTTTGTACACCAGCTTCAAACAGCTGAAAATACAATATTTTGGGTTATGGAAAATATATTTCACAGCTGTTTAGGTGGTAGGATGATTATCTACACTATACATGCTTGTTTTGTCACATAAACTGAAATTAGGCCAACTATTAGAATTTTAGCAACCAGGAAATGGCGGATCGATTTCTGCGTAGTGCACCTTTAACTAATTCCTAATGAAAATGAAGGCGGTAACCCTTATGATTAACTCTACTTGTTGGTAATGAGAGCCCAGGTACCAGTGTGTAAGACAGGTGCTCTTATCCACAACATTATAGTTTAACAATCTCAATTAACCGTATATAACAAGATGAAACCTGCATAATAGTTTTTTTCTTCTCATATCACAACAGTGAGCAGCATTGGGCAATGAACTCTCCATATTTTCAAGTATAAGTGACAGCAATATATTAACATCTTGTATTTTTAAAAACTTCCGTCGGCAGCCCACACAACGGTTGTGGTCATTACACCCAGAACACGTTCTCCCTGTAAAGGAAGAGCAGCTCTGAGTGGGCCTCTGTCTCCCTCATCTGCATCAAGCATTGATGCTCAAGTCTCCTCGAACATTCTTTGATCTCAAGAATAGGAAGCCACGACAACACATCTGCCTGGAGCATTGCTCATTAATTCAAAGCAGCCTGTATATGTCACTTTGAAACTGAAACTAGCCTTTCTTTTGGGAGCGCTGAGTGAAAATTATTTCCTTGTAAGCCTCTTAGTGATATTATTAAGTCTCTGTACCTGAAGGTAACAATATAAAACATGTGTTAGCTAGCCATACCGATAGCTCATGATAGATCAAACTTGATTAAGTGCTTCTTGCCTGCACTTTGATATTGGTTCACTATGGCTGCGTATACACAGGCAGCCCAATTCTGATCTTTTTTTCACTAATCGGTCTTTTGACCAATCGGTTCAGATCTTTTCACATCAGATCTTTTTCAGAACGATTAGTGAAAAAAATGAATTGGGCTGCCTGTGTAATTGGGCTGCCTGTGAGCGTCAGAAGTCTCAGTTCACAAAATACTGTTGCTTATTATTCCAGTTGACTCTTGAATTAGGTAATGTGAACATTAGGGTTACCATGACAGACCATACCATGCCGTATGCCAGGAAGGATAAACTGGGAAGAGAGGCTGTGGCTACCATCCTCCTTTCTGTGGTTTGAGATGAAGTTGAGAGATGGATATGGCAGGTTTGGTCCATGATCAAGACCCTATGATAAAAATTACAATTCATTTTACAGACATCATGGTCTGCGTTTAGACAGGCAGCCCAATTCTGATATTTTTTCCACAAATTGGTCTTTTGACCAATCACATCAGATCTTTTCACATCAGATATTTTTCAGAGCTGATCTGATTGGTCAAAAGACCAATCAGTGAAGAAAATAACAAAATAGGCTGCCTGTCTAAACACTGCCAAGAGTCTTGGATGTCCAAAAATGTACATTAGGTCCTGGAATTTTGACAGTATAGATTAGAACTATGACAGTATAGAATACTATTCATTCACAGCAAGTACTGTAGCACTTAGGCCACATAAATAAAAGTTGGATACATAAACAAAATGTACAGTATAATGTTTGGACTTTGTTACAGTGATAATGTGGTATATTACTCACAAAGCTGCTATGCTGTTTTATAACATAACAGGGTTAGGAAGAGCTGGCCAAAAGGTCCCACCCTTTGTTTTAACATCAACACATTTCCAAAAGGATAAGCTCTGAGGTCATTGAAATAGTTAAGTTATCATTATACAATGAAATCATTTTTCTAAATTGACATTTTATGACTTCACTGTGACATTGGTCCCTTATGGAAATTATTTTAAAACACAGAAAACTGTTAATTTCTTTCTTAATTGGACATGAAAACACATTTAAAGAAATGACAAATATTTAAAAACATTTCATACTCACAGAAGTGGAATGACTGGAAATTGGAGGGAGTCTATCTCTCTCCCTTTCCCCCTGATGCTGTGGTGTGTGGTTTTCTCTCGTAATGTTGAGTAGCATTTCTTCATCAGTTGAAAAGTCTGGTTTAGGTCGCAGTCACATTGCTTTTTTCTTAACCAAAACAATTTAAAAGACTCACAATACCCTCATACACGGTACCCACAGTAAAAAAAAAAAAATTATAATAATAATAATCTGAAACTAACTCTTAAAGAACAATCAGGATCTGAAACGCTCTCTCGTCTTCATTGTAAGCAGGTGAGCTCGGCAAAGTTGTCAGCGCGCAGAGACCAGAGTCTGATGCTGTTGTCAAGGTGAACAGGCACGAGCGTCCGCATTCGATAGGTAATGTCGCCGAAGTCTGGTTTAGGTGATACGCTTAGCTGAGCTGAGCATAAATTATTTATTTTCCACCTAACTGGATGTATCGTCTATATTTCCAGCGCAGCTGTACACATGCGCCATGTTGTCTAAGAGGAGGTTCGTAGTTGGATGTTCTTATGTAAGTGCGCGGGATTGCTGTCACTGATTTACTTCTCCCAGGCAGGGTCTGTTTAGACTTCGAGGAAACGCCTCGAGATATTCATTTATCACCAGGTACTCTATACAGAGTAGCGTACTGCTAGACTTCATTTGAGGTTTTTTTTCTTTCTGTAGGCCTATTCAAGGAATCAAAGTGATAAGGTATCCTACTACCTTACTCTACTCAGACTCAACACGATGTTATAGCTGTGTTATTACACATGATGACTTGACCTTGAATCACCTTGCTTTTGCCTTTTCTAATAAATACAGTACTGCAAAGTTGATGGTGAAGCTAGAGACACTTTCAGCAGCAGTAGGCTACTGGTAAGTTCCACTGGTGAGATAACCAGATCAGAGGAGCCTTCTCCACCCTTTACCACAACCTTCTCATTAAGGCCAACACAAAACTTCAGATGAACGCCAGTCACATCATGAATGTGTACCAAGCCTTAAATCATCTGGCAGATGATTAGTGAGGAGGATAATGACAGCCTCTCCAGCACTGCAGCGTAGGATGATTGTTGCTGATGCAAGGAAATTGCTGTTATGTTATGGAACTTCTCGCTGACAGAGGGATCCTCACTGCTTCATCACTAGGCACTGAGTCAGAGTTGTATATGGTATAGCCATTCCCCCATCCACATGTTCAAGCCCACATGTTAGAGATGATTGAGTGTTTTCCTAGCAGGTTGGCATTTATTGAGATGACTCATGTACTCGATGGAGAAAGCTCTGCAGAGTGGTCACAAGCAGGCACAGCCACAAAGTAAAAAAATCAGTTTTTAAACCTAACCTTAACCCTATCCTTAACCACACTGCTAATGCTAATGCCTAACCCTAACCTTAAGTTAAGAGCAAAAAGCAGATTTTAGTTTTGATGAATTTTTACAATACAGACAATTTTGACTTTGCAGCTGGTCCATCTCAGCAGGAACTGCTCAGCTCTGCCTCCAGGGCAAGACTCATGACAATAAACGTCAACCTGCGTTTTCCTCCACAGCCAGAGTGGGGCCAAAGCCTGAGCATAGCAACTAGACTACTGATCAGCACCACTCTGTGGTGAAGAGCATGGACGCTGGGCAAAGCAATCAACTGCTGCTATCTGAGGAGGACTATCCCAGAAGAATATTGATGACATTACTGATGCATATTGTACTAGATTCTCCACAGGCCAATTTGATGTACTATATGAGTATTGTTGGCTATCGTTCCCTTTTCTCTTCAGGATGCTGAATGACAAAATAGTTGAAGACATGGCAATTTGTTTTATAATTCCTAATTAAGATAGTTGATCAGTCAAATAATATATCACACAAATGTACAGACTACAATTGCACTGTAGGGCCACATGCCACACATGCGATGGTGTGAGTGTCTGAATCAACCAGTAGATGGTAGAAGCGGTCTGTTCAAATGGTTTCAAGCCCTACTGTATTTGACCTACAGGACTAGGCGTTACTCTATGCTGCAGTGCTCATTAAACAATGGAGTTTCATCACTCCATTGTCGATATAGTCCCAAAATGTTTTGCATGTCAGCAATCAAGTTTTCAAGATATGTAAGTTTCAAAATACAGAAATCTGACCCGCATGATGGAAAATGCGGAGAATGGAGTTTTCCTTTAAATCCACTGAACCTGTTCTATATGGAAGACAAGATCAGCAGAACCGTCACATCTATGCTGAACAGAAATATAAACGCAATATGTAAAGTGTTGGTCCCATGTTTCATGAGCTGAAATAAAAGATCCCAGAAGTTTTCCATATGCACAAAAAGCTTATTTCTCTCAAATGTTGTGCACAAATTTGTTTACATCCCTGTTAGTGAGCATTTCTCATTTGCCAAGATAATCCATCCACCTGACCGGTGTGGCATATCAAGAAATTCATTAAATGGCATGATCATTACACAGGTGCAACTTGTGCTGGGGACAATAAAAGGCCACTCTAAAATGTGCAGTTTTGTCACACAACACAATGCCACAGATATCTCAAGTTTTGAGGGAGCATGCAATCGGCATGCTTACTGCAGGAATGTCCATCAGAGCTGTAGCCAGATAATTAACTGTTCATTTCTCTACCATAAGCCGCCTCCAACGTTGTTTGAGAGAATTTGGCAGTACGTCCAACCGGCCTCACAACCGCAGACCACGTGTAACCACGCCAGCCCAGGACCTCCACATCCGGCTTCTTCACCTGCGGGATCGTCTGAGAACAGCTACCCGGACAGCTGATGAAACTGAGGAGTATTCCTGTCTGTAATAAAGCCGTTTTGTGGGGAAAAACTCATTCTGATTGGCAGGGCCTGGCTCCCCAGTGGGTGGGCCTATGCCCTCCCAGGCCCACCCATGGCTGCGCCCCTGCCCAGTCGTGAAATCCATAGATTTAATGAATTTATTTCAATTGAATGATTTCCTTACATGAGCATGTTGCGTTTATATTTTTGTTCAGTGTAGTTTCTTCTCTTACTGTATTTGGTTTCATGGATGGCTTTGTATGTAGACCCGACTCCTCCAGATGTGTCTTCTCATTCTAAGAGCGCCACAGGCAGGGAAATGCAATCATTGTCCAGCCAAGAGATTGATCACTCTCAGTTGACCCCTCTACTAAAATACAGCATGGAAAACCTGGCTGTTCTTCCATAACATTACACATTAAACAGCAAGATCAGGTTTCCATCTGTGAACTCTATTTGAAAAATCTAGGAAAAATCTATCACTCAGTCATTACAAATAAACAAACAAAGTAGTCATTGTTTGTACACTTTATCCATCTCCTAATTGTTGTCAAATGTCATAATTTGTTGTGAATAACACACAAACTTCAGTTTACAATAACTGTTATACAATCATTACAATCACATCAAATGTTTTAAGCATATAATGGTTTCTGCCTATTTTTCAAACAAACCTACGCTGTAAAACCAGATACGTTCTGGCAACTCAAACATTTTGCGGAAACCGATTACCTAAAAAAACTTAAGTTAAGAAACTTAAATAGCTAAAGTGAGCAGTACTACCTTCATATGAGTAATACAAATGCACGTTTTTGGAGTAAAGTATACTTAAATTTAACGCCCCCACTAAGCCATGCCTCCTATAATTTCCCAGTGTGCCTTGCCTTTTTGATTGAATTCTTACCACCCATGACTGTATTTGTTACTGACAGAGACATGGTTGTTGAATTCATTCATTTTCAGTCCTGTGGCCTTCACCAAGTGAGTTCCTAGGCTAATATTATAATTATAATTGAACCATTACATACAGTACCAGTCAAAAGTTTGGACACACCTACTCATTCCAGGGTTTTTCTTTCTTTTTACTATTTTCTACATTGTAGAATAATAGTGAAGACATCAAAACTATGAAATACGACATATGTAATCATGTAGTAAGCAAAAAAGTGTTAAACAAATCAATATACATTTTATATTTGAGATTCTTCAAAGTAGCCACCCTTTGCCTTGATGACAGCTTTGCACACTCTTGGCATTCTCTCAACCAGCTTCATGAAGTAGTCACCTGGAATGCATTTCAATTAAGAGGTGTGCCTTGTTAAAAGTTAATTTGTGGAATTTCTTTCATTCTTAATGTGTTTGAGCCAATCAGTTGTGTTGTGACAAGGTAGGGGTGGTATACAGAAGAGAGCCCTATTTGGTAAAAGACCAAGTCCATATTATAGCAAGAACAGCTCAAATAATCAAAGAGAAACGACAGTCCATCATTACTTTAAGACATGAAGGTAAGTCAATCCGGAACATTTTAAGAACTTTGAAAGTTTCTTCAAGTGCAGCCGCAAAAACCATGTGGCGCTATGATGAAACTGGCTCTCATGAGGACCGCCAAAGGAAAGGAAGACCCAGAGTTACCTCTGCTGCAGAGGATAAGTTCATTAGAGTTAACTGCACCTCAGATTGCAGCCCAAATAAATGCTTCACAGAGTTCAAGTGACAGACCCATCTCAACATCAACTGTTCAGAGGAGACTGCCTGAATCAGGCCTTCATGGTCGAATTGCTGCAAAGAAACCACGACTAAAGGACACCAATAATAAGAAGAGACTTGCTTGGGCCACGAAGCACGAGCAATGGACATTAGACCGGTGGAAATCTGTCCTTTGGTCTGATGAGTCCAAATTTGAGATTTTTGGTTCCAACCGCAGTGTCTTTGGGAGACACAGAGTAGGTGAACGGATGATCTCTGCATGTGTGGTTCCCACCGTGAAGCATGGAGGAGGAAGTGTGATGGTGTGGGGATGCTTTGCTGGTGACACTGTCTGTGATTTATTTAGAATTCAAGGCACACTTAACCAGCATGGCTACCACAGCATTCTGCAGCGATATGCCATCCCATCTGGTTTCAACAGAACAATGACCCAAAACACACCTCCAGGCTGTGTAAGGGCTATTTGACCAAGAAGGAGAGTGATGGAGTGCTGCATCAGATGACCTGGCCTCCACAATCACCCGACCTCAACCCAATTGAGATGGTTTGGGATGAGTTGGACCGCAGAGTGAAGGAAAAGCAGGCAACAAGTGCTCAGCATATGTGGGAACTCCTTCAAGACTGTTGGAAAAGCATTCCTCGTGAAGCTGGTTGAGAGAATCCCTAGAGTGTGCAAAGCTGTCATCAGGGCAAAGGGTGGCTACTTTGAAGAATTGTTTAAAAAATTTTTTGGTTAATACATGATTCCATATGTGTTATTTCATAGTTTTGATGCCTTCACTATTATTCTACAATGTAGAAAATAGTAAAAATAAAGAAAAACCCTTGAATGAGTTGTTTTGTCCCAACTTTTGACTGGTACTGTATATCATGAGGGCTTATACAGTTGGCCTGAAACTCATCGTTTACAGGCCACATCAGGCCAGCAAGTACGATTGCAAAATTCCACATACTTTCCCAATAAAATGTCCAGTAATCTTCCAACCAGGATTTCTGGAAAACCTGGGATATTTACCAGAATTT